GGCAATTTAAGCCTATATTTTCTTTTAATCTCTTATAATCGTTATACAATGCTCCTTGGCCTGTATAGTCTAAGCTTCCTAACTAGTCCACTCAGTGTTTTTCCAAATAAAGCACATTAATTCTACGAAAATTATAAACAGACCAAACTGCAATTCACAATTAGCCATCAGAATATGTAAGACCTTTCCAGTTCATACTTAAACATCAACTCTTAAAGTGTAACTTATAGAAGAAAGTGCCTTGTGTTTAGACCAGGGGAGATATTTATCATCACATACCTCAATCAAGCTGATACTTGACCATCTTACAGCTTACTATAAGACAAATCATTGGCAACATTTCAATGCAGCCTTTATATGCTCCTGCATTATTAGTTTTATAACACATCAACTTTTGCCTAATTATATTCTTAACCTCTTCATGCATAGTTTATATAAAATGCTCCTCGATTTATGCACTCTAAGCTCCAAACTTATATCATTCTGCATCTTTGTGATGAGGCACACTATTCCCGCGAAAGAAATAAACAAGACCTTTTCTCCAAAAGCATGTAAGACATTTGCACTTCAAAATTAGCCATCAGCTGCAGGAACATTGGCCAAACTACCTTGTTTTTACCAAGGGATCAGAATACTTAGAAATACTCCTATTATACACCAAAATTTTCCATAACAATTTAAGCAACTAATTTTTTTTCTCAAATTTATAAATAAATAAAATTAAATAAATAAAAATAAATAAAATGAAAAGTCATAGCTCAAATTCTGTCAACTTACCAAATTTTAAAAACTGAAGTACAGGTAAGCTTGACTTAAGGCAGCTCAGATAGTTCTTTATACATGATCAAAGCAAAGACTTCCAAAGAAATATAGAAAGGTGAAAGCATTCATTTCGAAAGAGGATCTGGTGCCATCCATATTGCAGAAAAGTCATTTAGATTATTAGGCTTGGTAAAACCACAGAGACACTCAGTGTAGAGTCAAGAAAGTTAAACCATCACATCAATAGGCCTCACACCTCAGCTTCTCAAAGCCAGTCAATTTCACCATCAAGTCTCCTAGTAAATCCTTTGTTGTCCTAGTTGACATGTCAAAACTAATTTTTTCAGGTCTTTGAAGATGTCTAGCCTGTTCTCTAAAGAGGTTTGACCATTCATGAATCCATCAGGGTTGTTCAAGGATACCGGTACCCAATGCAAGGATCAAAAAGATATATAGTATCGTAGTTTTTATCAAGGTACAAATGCTATACATAAACTTACAGATGAAAAGGATACATAATTACAGATTCAAGTTTTAAATCCAATGTCTCAAGCTTTTGCAAAGATCCAGCTGATGGTGGGAGGCCTGGGAGCACTTCTGCATAGATTCTTCTCAAGCTTAGACATTCCCCTTCATAACTCTTAAGGAACTATTGTAATCAAGTTTGTATAATGCTCAGTCTGCAGAAGTTCTTAATCAACCAAAACCTGAATTTCTTCAGTATATTCAGCTATTTTAGTGAACCAAGAGCTTTTAATTAATTTAACTCTGGCCAATTGGAAGCTCTTAAACCTGTTACCAGCTAACTCAGATCTCTCAAATTCAACCTGTTACTTCACCACCTACAGGCGACTCAAGTTAATCTGCCTTGGATCCTTAGGCTTCTGAGCTACAATTAATAAACAGTAATTTATCCAAGAAATACATACACGAATAGCAGAGTCATAAAATCAACTAAAGTCATAAAAGAAGCCACATAAAAATATAAAATAGCTTTCTTCATAATAACTAATAAATTAGGCTTTCTAGGTAGTCATCACTGACTTTTACTCCCAAATCCCAATTACTAGTAAGAGACAAAAATATTAAATTGCCTGAAGCACAAGATTTATTTAATCAAAATCTGGTTCAAATCCAAATGAATGTACTCATGTTTGCATCCCTCACTCAAAAACCATGTGCACTGATTTTGATATCAAATTTCAGAATGACGCTGAGATCCTCAACTGTCATAGCAAGTTAAAGACTTTGATAATTATTTTCCAGTTTAATAAAAACAACTCATATTAAAGAGTCACATTGAAGAATTAATAAATCAAATATTCACCATAGCCATCTAGATAACTGAAAGAGCTGGAATTTCACTGATAAATTTAACAAAAAAGGACCAATACAAGGCTACAATACATTGATACACATCCAGAATTTCAAGAAACATTGTTAAGCCTAAACAAAAACTGTATGCATACACCAATAATTAACAGGAACTTAGTAGTAGTAGATACCTGCAACCTATAAGCAAGAAAATGCTTGCATTTGAAAAACAAATCGCACATATTAGGTCTATTTTCCCACATACATTTGACAGGTAAGGTATCCGTTTTGTAAGGCGTTTCCGAATGCATTGACAGACCTGCCTGAAACCACAATCTCACAAGTTGAGGAGCTCCTTGGAAGCTTAAACAATGACCTACAGTACTGACCTTCCTTCCACACTATATCTGCTTCTTCACGTTCATTTTTAGCTTTAATCACATCCATCATACGAACATCTATGCAAAGCTTTTCCAAAACATTAGCATTACTTAAAATGTACGCTAGCAGCCTCAGGTCATCGCCAATTGCCTGTAGTCCCTTTATTTTTATAGTCCTGAGCTTACTTAATAAACAATATGGAATAGTATTCGGTGGCAACCAATACCTCTGCTCCATTGCAAGATCAGCAGGTTGTGACCATATACTCACCACAAGATGCTCTAAGTTAGGAAAACAATCTAAAGAAAACAACAAATCTTTGAAGAAATTTGTTTCTAGATTCACCACATTAGAAAATATTGGCAACTTCCCGGAATTTGGGCAACCAAATATATTGCTATGGCTTTCGAGCAGCAACTCAAGGTTGCTAACACTAGACAATCCACCAACAAACTTGGACATCTCCTCAAGATAACAATTACCTCCCCAATTAACCAGCACAACATAGCCTACAAACAATCTCTTCAAGGACATACGCGCTTTAACTAATGCAGTTGGATTCCGAACAAAATTATAAATGGAAGACCAATCATAAATTTCAAGGTTAGTCAATTTGGGTGCATCAACCGATATTCGAGTGCGTTGCATCTCATTGCATGGTTGCATACGTATACACATCGATTTCAAATTAGGAGCAATTATACCCAAAGCAAAATAGGACGGGGGATTATAATCCAATTCGAAGGACAAAGACAAATCTTCCAAATTCGGGCAAGACCTAATTAACTTCGATAACCAATTTGGGACATTATCAAGCGTACACAAAGTAAGTAGCTTCAAATTAGGGAGATGAAAAGACGAACACAAAGACGAATCACCATTTTTAGGCAACTTCGATTTAAGCGTCCCATATAATTGTAAACTTACCAGAGACTGAGAATTGACAAGGCAAGCAGGAATACGAAACGGATAACCTTCAACTGTATTGAGAGTGAAATTCTCCACATTTCGGCGACAAATTTCACTGAACCATGGTTCTGACTCACTGAATCTCGGAATAACGGATAGCATTGAGGAATAATCGAGATCGAAAGCTAGGAGTTTCGGAGAGGTAATCTGGCGTAGGATATGGTCGATTGTGGTGGAACCGTTGGATTTTGTACTTTCGTCAGTTTCGTGAACACCGAGTTTGAGGCGGGTGATGGTGGTCCAGAGGTGGCGCCAACGGTGGGATAAGACGGAGGTGGTGGCGGCGGAATGGATTGTGAGGCGGGAGAGAATGTCGGTGAGAATGGCGTCTGGAAGTGAACTCAACCTGTCTTTTGTTTCTTCATCTTCGGTTGACCTTCTGCTTCGTTTTCTGATGTAGTATTTCAGTATTTTGCTATCACCCATTGTCAATTTTTGTATAACTCTTCAGTCTTCACTATTACTCTCTCTGTATTTTTTTGAGAATTTGAATTGGAGTTTATTAGGGAAGAAGGGAAAAGAAAGGAGGGTGTCTGGTCAATTTCCTTTGACCTACAAATAGTCAAAATCAACTGGCATCCATACACTATGCCTCCAGTCAACGACTCATGCCTCATAGGGCTAGGCCGGAGTTAGGGGTGTGCATAGGTCCAACCCTATTTTTGACCTGAACCAGACCGGACCGTACCAATTAATTTCAGTCCGGTTTTCGGTCCAAGAATATTGAAGATTTCAAGTTTCTAGTCCGGTCTAAACTAGAATGATCTGGTTTAAGCATAAAACTCAAATTATTTCATATTTTGGTGAACTTTTGTAATCTGTTAAGCTTAAGTACTTAAATAGTACGAGTAAGATGCATTAAATGTATTGTAGACTTGTAGTCCTATAAACATTGTTGACTTGCAGTTTTTTAACTTAATGGACTTCTTACTAGGCTTATATAAAGTGCTACTCATAATATGTTATGTAACCATGGTTTCAAGGGAAATTAACAAAAGACTTGTTGAAACAGGTCCAACAAATCTAAAAAAATGGACCGGACCTGTAAAAACAAGTTTGGTCCGACCTGGATTGGATTTTTTTTAGCTCCTATCATCGGTCTTCAAAAAGTTTAGATTTCGGTCTTTCAATCCAACAAGTTTCAGTGTCGTCCAGTCCGATTTTGGACCTGTGCAAACCCCTAGTTGGGATCAAAAGAAGCAAAAGTCCAAAAGTTCAATGCACCCTAAAGTTAGGATTACTCCAGAATAATTGAAAATTTGAGTTACTCCAGAATAAATGCTTAAGCACACCTTATTCAGACCCAACTTGGACCTGACCAGACTGGCACCCGACTCGACCAAAAGCTTAGGTACAAAATGTGCATTTTTAGCCTTGTTCCGGTCCGACTTGTCCCATGATCAAATAGGTATTCTTATGTCCACAGCCCACTTGATTTGGACAATTTTGGTCACTGGACTAGCCTCCTTTCTTTGCCTTCTTCTGTAAACTCATGAAAAAAGACCTAAAAAGAAGAAGAAAAAAAACAGAGTGTAGTTAAGGGTGAGACTGATGGAAAAATTGAGAAGGGGTGATTGCAAAATCATGAAATACTACGGCCAAAATGGACCGGCGTCACCTGCGTTGATCTCTATGATTACGATCGATCAATATCCACGGCCAAAATCAGCTACATCCTACGCCAGCTTATTTGTCGGAAACTCCACTACTTTGGTCTCACTCTCGAAGAGGGGTTCCATTCTCCTGCAATTAGTGTATCAGAAGCAGAATCATTGTTCTTCCAAGTTTGCAGCCGAAATGTGGAAAATATCAGTGTAATTGCAGGGTACGATGTTTCCTTTTCATTACCCGCTGTTCTGTTCAATTCTCAATCTTTGGTAACTTTGACATTACAGGGTTTGCTTGAATTGCCCAAAACTAAAAATTTGTGTGTTAATCTCCCTAATTTGAAGAAGCTTTCCCTAAACCTACTTGATGATTTCCCTCTTTGTTTGGAGACTTTAATTATGTCTTCCTCACTTTTGGAACATTTGGATTTAGTCTTCGATCTAGATAGGTCTAGTCATGTTGTGAATATAATTGCTTCCAACTTGAAGTCATTGTCTATAAGTATGCTAAGCAATACCCGGAACACTAGAGTATATATTGATGCTCCCAAATTGGCAAAGCTTAAAATTCAAGATTGGAATTCAATCTACTTCTTTCTCCAGAATCCATCTACATTAGTCAAAGCCTGTATTCAATTGGATTATGGGCTGGAATCAGAAGATGATGAGGAGGATAAGCAGGATTACGGCTCATTATCTGGACCACAAAAAGAATATATTTGCCAGATGACCAAGTTTGTTGGAGGATTATCTAGTGTTAGCAAACTTGAGCTGAAGCTAGAGAGTTGGACCAATATTATGAGATATTTTAATTATTTGAATCTGCCAATTTTCTCAAATTTAACCCGTCTTGAAACAAATTGCTTTAAGGATTTGCTGATTTCTTTAAATTGTTTTCCCAACTTAGAGCATCTTGCGGTCCAATTATGCTCAATTTATGATAAAAAGGAGAAAATAAGCTGGTGTGCACCGGATTCAGTTCCAGATTGTTTAGTAAGTAAGCTAAAGACTATACTAATAACGGGACTAAAGGGCATTGATGATGAACTCAGGCTTCTAGCATACATTCTGAGTAATGCAATTCTTTTGGAAAAGCTTCTTGTACAATTTTGTACAGTGGATGGGGCATATATTGAAAATGAACGTGAAAAAGCGTATGCAGTGTGGAAGGAATGTCAGTTTTGTAGGTCAATGTTAAACCTTCCAAGGAGCTCCTCGACGTGTGAGGTTGTGGTTTCTGGTACGTCTGTCACTGCATCAGGTAATGCTGTAGAAGGTAAATTCCTTACATGTCAAATATATTTGAGTGAATACACCTGACATATGCAATCTGTTTTCCAAATGCAACATTCTAGCATATGCGTTGCAGACTTGCAGGTATTGACTACTAAGTTCTGATTGATTTTTGGTTTATGTATAATTACATGTAGTTTTGATTTTGGCATAACAATGTTTCTAGAAAGGGAGGATATGTAGTTTTGGATATGTATCAAGCCAATCAAGGTATCGTAGCCTTGCAATGTATTTTACTCTTTTCTGTAAGGTTTATATGATATATTCAAGATCGTTTACTACTTTACTTCTCTTTATATGGTTATGCGGGGTAATTCATTTATTTGTTAATGCCTTAGTGTATGTAGTATGAACTCTGAAGTACATCTATAAATGTGGGTGTGTTTGTTTCAAGGGAAAAGCCTTTTCTGAAAAATACATTTCCTGTTTTCTGATGTTTGTTTAAACCGGCCCATAAAATAAAAAATAGGACCGGAAAACACTTTTCCATATAGGCCCAAACATTTTCCCTAAACAAACATGATATTCCATGTTTTCCGCGCATCACTCATCTTTAAGCTCTTTCTCATCTTCCATGTTTTCCTTACAAACAAACAAAAGAAAACTAAACCAAATTTGAGTTTTCCTTTCAGAAAATGGAAATTCATTTTCCATTAGATTTATTTTCCGTCAAAACAAACGCTGGTGGAAAGGGAGGAAATCAATTGATAATTGAAGGGGGGGTGCCCAGTTAATCTTTTTGATTGCTTTAGTTCGTCAATCTATTTCGCCAACTCAGCCTTTAGAGTTAGATCCTGATGAGTCAGTTGGGGGGGGGCATATAGACAGGTAGGAAACCGATTTGTAAATGCCGCTTATTTTCTTCATTAAAGCTCCATTGAAGCTACCACCGACACCACTTCAAATCATCATGTCCACCGACACCACTATCTTCCTCCGTTAAACTGTCAACCGACACCACCTCCGGTGGCTTGAATTAAACGAAAATCCGAGGAATAAAAGGTGAAAGTAAGGGCTTGGTTAATCGAAAGAGTAGGGGTTACCAAGAACATGGTGTTAGTGAACGGTGGGTGGAGACTGGTGGAGAGAGAAAGGTGGAGGTGGTGTTTCTATGCAGCTGCCATTGATGAATGAAGGTAGGAAGCTTGAGGAGAGAGGATGAAGAAGGTAAAGTGAGTTGACGGAAGGAATTGGCATTAACTTCGTTGTCTTACGCGTTCAGCCGAGTCAACGTGGGCTTAGGAACATGTTACATAGGCAAAATGACCAACGAATCCCCAATTTTAATGATGGAAATACCTAGAGTACTCCTAGATTGACGTTTTAAAGTGATCAAAGATATAAACAGGAAATTGCCGATAATTAAAAGGGTCAAAAGTTGCTGCTGTAATAAAACATCTGACCATAAACCCTACATCTAAATTATAATCCCAGCAACAACCGACCAAAAATAAAGAACTAACTAATGGTTTTGACGACCAATAACACGAGCTCAAGGTGGAACACAAGAGAAGATGCAAGAGTTAGTGTCATGAGAAGAGAAGACATAATGTAGCATTAGGTTGCTTTAGTTGTCAAACATAGGAACAGAGTCTAAAAGATGAATTAGGGGTCTAGTTTCCAATCAAAAATGTGCATTGCATTCTAGGTGATTCGAGGCAAACGTCTGAATAATGAAATTTACACCAATTGTTATAAAACTTGTCCCATAAATTGGATAAGGCTGGAAATTGACCAAGGCCCGGACGTCTTATTATTAAAAGCCCATTTATAGCTACCAAATGTGTATTCTAGGTGATTAGGTTCCAATCCCCTCCTAACAACCAATTGATGTAATTTACACCAATATAATTAAATAGCCCACCTCATTGCCACCCCCTAAGGTTATAACCCACAATTAGATCTGGCAAATGGGTAGTTCGAGTCGGTCATTTAACATCGGGTCGGGCTGGGTCATTTTGGGTATGATTCGGGTCAGGTATCGGGTCAGTTTCGGGTTGGGTCATTTCGAGTCAGACCATTTTTGGGTCAAGTATGTTCGGGTCATATTCGGGTCCAGTCAAATATGTTCGAGTCATATTCGGGTCGGGTTGAAATCAAGTTAGATCATGTCGAGTTGTTCCATTTGTGGATCAAGCTCAAATTAATAATTTTATATTTTGTTATTGTTATAATAAGAATTAGGAAATATTGCTTTAAATAATACCACCTTTCACCCGTTCGCTAAAAACAAGTCGACCTTTTCATTATCTCTAAATAATACCACCTTTGGGGGTGTCCGCTTTAAACAAGATTTTTTACCTGCAACCTTAATGATCGGTTAACCTTTTGATTTTTTTAATAACTTCGTTTAACACTATAATTAACTCTTAATTAGAACTTTAATTATGGTTAGTAATTAATATAATTAAAATAATTTTTTTTTAAAAAAAAACCCCACCAGTTGCCACCGACTTCCCTTTCTCCGGCGCGCCCCACTCCCTGCTCGCCGGTGCCGGCCACACCTAGATCCCCTCTCCGGCACCGACGCTCGTGTCGATCCTTCCCTTCTTTCCCTCTTCCCTCTTCCCCTGAACTAGCAAACCCTACCCGAAATTCATATCCCTTACCCACGGAAACTCCCTAAAATCCATCACCCACCCTCGAAAAATTTCCAACCGGACCTTGGTTGCGAGGTGTTGGAGCGGCAACAGTGTGGAGGGGTGGTGGTTGAAACGCGCAAGGGTTGCACGATTCAGTTTCTGCCCAAGATGGTTGATGTGGCTGGGCACTTCGTCTGGCTGCGCGGTTGGCCGTGGCTGCTGCTGGACTTCGGTGTGTCTGGTGTTTAGGGGAGGGGCGATAGATAGCAAAATGTGCAAATGTTGTTGTTGTTGAGGATACCGAGAAGGGGTTGGTTGGCGCTGGGGGATACCGATCGTCGGCCGCTGGAGTGGGGAAAGGGGGCTGCTAGTTACCAACTGGTGGGGGAAGTGGTTGGGTGGTTTATTTTTTTATTAATTATTATTATTATTATTATTATTATTATTATTATTATTATTTTATATTTTAAAAATTAAAATATTAAATAATTCTTAAAAAATCAAATTAAATTTACAAAACCAATAAAAAAAATAATACTAATGTGATTAATATTACTTCGTATTAAATATCTTTTAATTATTATAAAAAAAATTTAAAAAAAACAAATTAAATTGTCAAACTAATAAAACATTGACACGTGTCATACATGACCTATTTACCAGGTTACTAACAGGTTACAACTTGTTTAAAGCGGACACCCCCCAAAGGTGGTATTATTTAGAGATAATCAAAAGGTCGACTTGTTTTTAGTGGACAGGTGAAAGGTGGTATTATTTAAAGCAATTTTTTCTAAGAATTATCAATTCGGTTTATTAGCTTGGCTACGATTAAAGATGAAAAAATTGAGTAATTTTTGTCACCAGGCATTTTTTGTTTAATTAGAAAGTAATTTTAGTTTGGTATATTTTGGATATCGTGTCTGTTTAGGTCAATTTCGAGTAATGGGTTTGTTCGGATCAAACACTTCGGGTCAATTTCGGGTCAGGTCAACTTCGGGTCGAGTCAGTTTAGGTGTCGGGTTAGGATTAGGTCAACTTCGTTTTCGGGTAGGGTATGGGTTGAGTCGGGTCAATTTTGGGTTTTAGGTCATTTTCGAGTTGATGTTTTTGGGTCAATTTCAGGTCATGAGTCAGGTCATTCGGGTCTGGCCAGGATTGCCAAGTTTACTCACAATTAATAGTAATAGTTATTTTTTGTATCAAGAATTATGTCAAGTGATATTATACTCCACATACAAGTATATATGAAAACCTGAAGTTTCATTTGATAATGTGCTGACACTCTCTCAATTTTAGGTATATGAAATGAATTGAATGGCAAGACATAACATTGAGATTGAGCTACAATAATTTGTGTTGATGAAAATTTCAAGAGTTAATAGGTTTTGATTTTTATATATACGAAAGAATAATAGGTGATCAGAAGTTCACCAATATAACTTATATATTATTATCAAGTGTTAGGTGACAAGGAGCTCATCAAATACACTATTTGAGTCTTTAAAGATCCAGAAGATCACCACCTAGTAGAATTACAAGCAAGCAAGTGATTTACGCTAGTATACTAATTCTTTTAATTGGGGCTATTATAGTTGGCACATGAGAAATAGGAGAAGAAGGAAAAATGTACAACTACACAACACATGTCTCCCCCTTGACATTGATCTCCAGAAGAGAACATAATATGGAAAATGTATAAAAATACATATGCAATGTAAAGTTAATGAAGAAATGATTCTTCATTGAAATTGTTCTCCATAAGAGATAAATCTTGTTTAATACAAATCTTTTAAGAGATTATTTTTTTTTATTGTGATCCTCCCAATGAAATGAATTTTAATGCAAATTTGTATACTAAGTTGGTATAAAATTAGACGCCCCTATAAATGAGATATTTTACCAATTTAGGGAGAAATGAATTAGCAAAAGTTGGAAAAAAAAATAAAAAAAAATAAATTGATGATCCCTATAATGGTAGTTTGAAAAGTTACACGCTAACTTTGTCTATATATTATCAAGATATGTTGCACATTTATGATTTGATTTGTATTCAATTATGACTCACGTTGCATAACGTTGAAGATACATTTTGGTCATAGTCAATTATGTGTATACATTGAGATAAAATCTTGTCAATTATACTTGAATCACTACACCTGAAGTGTAGGTTATATGATCGGTTCCAAAATAAAGATATGATATGTGGCAATATAGTGCAGTTAACACTTTTTACAGTGTAATAGTATATAAATACCATAATGTATGAAATACCCCAAATAGAAGTTGTATATATAGATATTTGAGAATTATAATAGATGGCTTATAATATGAAAAAGGTTATAATGGTACCAATGGGAGATGTATTTAGATATCATAGTAAATTAGTATGCGAAATTATGTCTTACTGAATTTTATAATACCAGTATACTATGAAACCGATAAATAATATGCATATGCATGATAGAATGGACTAGTGAATAAGGGATCTAAAATATATATGTTCATTTTGATGTCGACATAAAATGATCAAAAGTTTATTATGGACCAAAAGTCCAATGAAATATGGATTTTAAAATCCACACTGTACAATGTCTTGCATCATTTTGAGTCTTATGTTCATGTGCATGTGTGAGTCGTAGGGTAATGGATTATTTATTGCATATGTAAGAAGTTGTTAGATGCATTACTCATTGTATATTTTGTTAAATATGTTATCATGTTTTCTATATTATATTGCATGCATTAGTTTCTTATAATATAATAATTGTGGTGTATGTAAATGTTCATTCAAAGTATAGTAAGACATATTTACAACTTTAAACTTTGATGAAAAATTATAAAGAGATATTTATATTTCAATAGGCTTATAATTGCGATGAAATTATTGATGACACAGATTTAATTGCACATTATGAATCATGTAAGAATAGTTCCTGAAGAACTTATATACGACGTATTTTAATATCCAGCCCTACAAAGTTTATATCTTGAATATTGCAATTATTATCAAATTCTTGAGAAGTCTATGTAATTACATCATTGACATCTCAACCTGAAATTTGAGCATATGAGAGTTAATGAGATTTACTATTTGTATTTGCAAGAGAGCTATCATGTCAATTATGAAACGTCTATAAAATATCAATGGAATACTTATGCGTGAGAATGTTTTCTTATGGTCCAGAAGAATCATGATTAGCGTATATAATTACATGTGTTATATTATAATTCATATGAGATTGAAGAACGACATTAATAATATCAAGTTTTGTCATCAAATTATTATTAACGAATGTTTGATCAAATAATGATTATCAATATTTATTATTAATGACTTCCAAAAGAAGTCATAACCGCATAAGTTCAACCTTTAAATCAACTATTAAACAGAGATTTGAAATAATGATATTAGAGATAAACACATGTATGGTGAAATGAAGACACTTCACATGTTCACGTGAAGACTTGAAGATGCAATTTCAATTAGGAGGATCGAAGATCAACGAGTGATATTTTACTACATATGAGAAGATATCCAACATATTGGATTCATTGCTGTGACACTAGAAGATCTCAAATTATGTATTCATCAGGGAAAGAAAAATACACGCTGCACTCTTTTTCCCTTGACCATGGTTTTGTCCCACATTGGGTTTTCCTGATAAGGTTTTTAATAAGGCAGCATCTCGAG